CGGGGGGTGAGGCGGGAGCCACGGGTCCTGGCTGTTTGCCTCCTAGTCTGGGGGGGAGTGGGAGACTCGGGGGTCACAGTGCAGGCACACTCGCTCAGCCCGCAGGAGTGGCAGCCCCGGGGAAGCCCCGGGTCTGGGGGAGCTTTAGCTGAGGTCAGAGAGGGTGTCCTGGGCGGAGGTGTGGGGGCACACGAGGCATTTCGGAGCCCTGTGGTGTCAGGGTCAGAGGGATGGGATGGAGACGCAGGCCAGGGACCCAGGCTCCCCCTCCCGCAGCCCCTTAGGAAATGGACTGTAAACTAGACTTCACTTGGATACTTTACACACAGAAACTTCCCCCAAACTCTGTTTCAAACCTCTTCCGGCGCCTCGCCCGCAGGAGGCAGTGCTGACCACCATGGACATCATCCATGACGGCTTCGGCTTCATGCTGGCCTTCGGGGACCTGGTGTGGGTGCCCTTCGTCTACAGCCTCCAAGCCTTCTACCTGGTCCTCCATCCCAACGAGGTGTCCTGGCCGCTGGCGGCTCTGATTGTCGCTCTGAAACGTGAGTGCTCGTTTCCCCCTGGGCTCTGAACGCGGTGGCCCTGTGCCTCCATGCTTGTGTGACACTCCCTTTTCAGTGGCCGTCATAAGCTCAATTGGAAGCGAGCTGTGACGGGTGAGTGGTAAGGCGTTTGCAAAGAGAATGGATGCCTCATGCTTAGGTTCTTCAGTGGGTCTCTACTAGAGAGAGATCTTTAAGATTTTTTATTGACAGTGGACATTCTGGGGGCGTGATTAGCTATTCCTAGCCCTTCAGAAGGGGCCCCCCTGATAGCCACTGGGGCAGGCAGGACATACTGTTGACTGTATGCCGATGCGCTACCTTCCATCCCAGGACTTAACTGCCAGTTTGTGCTGCTTCATCCCCTCACCTGGCCCCCCAACCTGCCTCCTATCTGGCAAGGTCTGGCCCCAAGCTGTGCGGCAGGTGGACGGTCCAGGGGGCCGGCGCCCCACTGCTCAGCCCCGGGTCCTCCTGCTCGGGGGGCGGGGGAGTGGACCCGGGCGGAGGACAGCTGTGCCTGTGAGAGCCTCAGAGTTGGGTCTGGAATAGGGTGTTGCCAAAAGCTGTGTGAACAAGGACTGTCCCTTCTCAGGAAACGCCATCTACGATTTCTTCATTGGCCGCGAGCTAAACCCTCGGATCGGGACTTTTGATCTCAAATACTTTTGTGAACTGCGCCCGGGACTGATCGGATGGGTATGTGTCTGGTTTTTTTTTAAATTTCAGTTCAGTAGTGCAAATTGGTCTTGGACTTAGAATTGCATAGTTTTAAGGAAGCGGTGGGTGGTATATTTTAGGAATAATTACAGCTTTCCCTAAATCTGCCTACTTAAAGTATTTTCTTACGGCGAATATAGTCCAGGGGTTAAGATGCCCTGTTACAGGTTATTAAACCTTAGAAGGGTTTATTTTCAGTTTCTATTTATGTAGGAAAGGGGTAGTGTCGGTGGATTCATGTAAGGAAAAAGAACAAACATATTTCACACGCGTAGAGTTGCGACAGTAAAGCGTCCCCTTAGATCCATCCCTCCACGTCCCAGTGTCAGCACCTGGCACAGCCACAGCCATGATCTGGGCAGCACAGCGCACTGGGACAGGTTCCCACGCGGGCCTGGCTCTGTGGCTTCTCTGCAGCCCAATCACTTCTGGTTCCTGCTTTGGTCTCCTCTCCTTCCCTTGTCTCCCGACCTTGACCCTTGAGGAGGGCCTTTCACTGGGCTAGTCCAGTGCTCTCTCCTTTTTCATCCTCACCGAGGGTATGTTTTTATTGATTTTGAGAGAGAGAGAAAGAGAGAGAGAGAGAGAGAGAGAAACATTGATTGGTTGCCTCCCTTATGTGTCCTGATCTGGAATTGAACCCACAGCCTTTTGGAGTGTGGGACAGTGTTCCAGCCAGCTCACCCTGCCAGGCCCAGTGTTTCCTCATGTCGGAGTCATGCCCTTGGGCAAGACCCACAGACACGACCTTCTGTCCTCTCAGTGCCCCTTTCCAGGGTTCACGGGTGACGTGCCTCATACCATGGCGATGGCTGGGGAAGCTGGCGTCGCCCCTCTGCCCCCCGTGGGTGCGAAGGACCTTCTCCGAGGGCCCTGGGGACGAGAGAAATCCTGGAACATCACGCAGTGCCACTTCCTGGCTGACTCTTAAATCTCTTCTTATTCCCACTGAGTAGTTTCCGATGGTTTTCCAGAGCACCACTAGGCCCGATCTCCTTTTTCATCCTCACCGAGGGTATGTTTTTATTGATTTTGAGAGAGAGAGAGAGAGACATCGATCGGTTGCCTCCCTTATGTGTCCTGATCTGGAATCGAACCCACAGCCTTTTGGAGTATGGGACAGTGTTCCAGCCAGCTCACTCTGCCAGGCCCAGTGTTTCCTCATGGTCGGAGTGATGCACTTGGGCAAGACCCACAGACACGACTTCTGTCCTCTCAGTGCCCCTTTCCAGGGTTCACGGGTGACGTGCCTCATACCATGGCGATGGCTGGGGAAGCTGGCGTCGCCCCTCTGCCCCCCGTGGGTGCGAAGGACCTTCTCCGAGGGCCCTGGGGACGATTCTGGCCCTTTGGTTTCAGGTGGTGACGAGACTCGGGGGTCACAGTGCAGGCACACACGCTCAGCCCGCAGGAGTGGCAGCCTTGGGGAAGCCCCGGGTCTCGGGGAGCTTTAGCTGAGGTCAGAGAGGGTGTCCTGGGCGGAGGTGTGGGGGCACACGAGGCATTTCGGAGCCCTGTGGTGTCAGGGTCAGAGGAAC